CCATACGAAGATCCCCAAATTTCTCACGATGTAGAACCCATCCACTAGCACTACCTCACTACCCACTCCTTCCCCCCCACAACCACGCAAAACCCACCCGTAACCCACCACGATGCTTACCTCAGACTCCTCCGCCCTCCCATTCTTTCATCGACTCGCCCAGATCGTCTAGTTGGTTAGGATGATACGTTGTGGTTCTTCTATACAGCGATCCGTGTTGACGGCGGTTCGAATCCGCCTCTGGGCAGTAGCAGTCGTGCAAAGCGACCGTCTTCATTTTTCTCTATTTCTCCGACGTCTAAAGACTTTCTTTTTGCTGCATATCATCTTTATTTCTTTCTTTCGCGCATATTCATGCTCAACTCGGTCGAGTCTCACTCCGATTCAGCCTCACGACAAAGCTTGTCGCAAAATCAACCACTTACTTACTCCCTTGATGCATCGCAGCTCAAACCCCCGTCACATCACGAGACTCAGGTTGCTAGATTCCCAAAAAAAAAAAAAACGCCAAAGTCTCATCCTCCAAAGGTGAATACCAAACCTGCACAAGTACCCCAGGCTGAGATGGCCGCGGCCCGGGTCGTCTTGGCGAACCGCCGCCGCCGCCTGCTGGGAGCCTTTCCAACGCCATCAGCCGTGACCACCCAACCAATCACGCCAAGAAAGTGACCCCAATCCCGTCCAGATTCGGAAAGAGAGGCAGGCCTCAGCTACTCCTGCAGGGCGACCCGGAAAAAACCTTAATTTATCGAAAAACTAAGACGACGCCATCTCTCCTCTCGCCGCTCGATAGTGCTCTTTTGGATCCCCCAGCCCTACGTCAAGTCCGAAAAAATGGCGCCGTAGAATGTGACATGCTCCCTGTAGCAGCGAAAGCAGGGAGAGGAGAGTCAAAGTTGACTTCATCTCGTCGGAGCAAGCCCGAGACAGCCAAGAATATTGTTTTAGACACGTCCAATTACCGGATGATCCATCACAGCACTTCCAGTTGATCTCAAATTTGGGTTGTCTTGAATTCTGCCGTCCGTCTTACTGACGGCGGTCTGTCTATTGCTTCCAGGTCGGTATGCTTTACATACTCAAACACGATACCAGACAGCGCTGTTATGTGAAGAAAAAAACAGGCACACAAATATGGCGGGTATTGCATCGTAGTATGCTCAGCGCAACATACAAAGCCGGCCGTTTCATTTTGTTGTAGTACGGATACTCTTGTTCCAGTACTGACTGCAAGCAGCTCCTATGCTGCGAATCTAGTGCAGGTGATTCCCGTTGAACCTGCACTGTATTTTCCAGACCTCGTAATTCCAAGGTGCTCAAATATGCTCAAACCAAGTAACGCGCGAGAAAAACCTCTCGTCCCCCTTCACGGAGTACCCTCATTTAATCTTCACCAAACAGAATACCGTGGTGCTCTGCGCACAGCTGGTCGAATCCCAGCCAATACACGGTCCCGTTGTCGTTAGCAGTGTCTGACCAGGCACCACCGTCGTTCTCCCGAATATCCTTGGGGTAAGGGTGTGCGGGATACCACACTCGGCCGTCAATCAGCTCAGGCATGTAGTGTTCCTCCTGCTGGAACCAGTTGATAGCGGAACGGATCAGCGAGCGGCCGTAGGGGAAGAACCACATCCGAGGCCAGAACACGTCCAAGGCCCCCTTCTCTCCGGTGACGTGCAGTAGCGGGAACGTCTGCTTGGTCACAATGTTGGCTCCGAATTCAGACTTGCGGATCAGCTCGTTCACCGTTGCGCCCATGGTCTCGTCCTCGGTTGTGTTGAAGATGCGCTTGAGCGATTTCATGCCGTCCGCCTGCATATGCAAGCTCCAAGGCACAAATGTAGAACTGTTGCGGTAGTTTTGCGAGATTTCGACTGAGTACAGAGGGCGGTCAAATTTGCGCCAGTCCACCCACTCGCCGTAGCCAGCCCATGTCTGGAACATCAGACTCCAATAGTCCATGGCGATGTGGAAGTTGTAGCTGTACGCGGGCTCCAACTCGGGGACCCAGCCGTCTTCTGGAGGCAGCATCACAGCGGCATCGGGATTTTCCTCCTTTTGCATCTGGATTCTCTCGAGCTCTTGCAGACCCCAGACGTCGCTCATGTAGAACTGGTCGCTCTCCCTGAACTCGTATTCCGGGTTGTACACTTCGTTGATCAGATCGAGAGTGGCTCGGAACATCTCGCGGATCTCCTTAATGGGACCAATAATGGTACCACTGTTGAGCCATCGGGGGTGGTTGAAGGCCATATCCTCGCCAGTGTTCGTGAGAGGGCCGAACTCGTGGCCGTCCATGTTGGGCACCGGAGGAACCGCCCAGCAAGCCGGACGCCGCCAGTCCACGGGCCAGCAGACCTTGTCGGCGCCGAAGAAGATATGCCGGCCCATGGGACCAGCCAGACTCTGGGCCCTTTCGGGTCCCAGCTGCTGGATGATTCGCTCGTCTTCCTTGGCCGCCGCCTTGAAATATCTCTCAATCAAGACATCGGGGCCAAACTGGAGAAGAACGTCATAGCCGTCAATCATCATGAAGAGATCATCGTTGCTGGATTCGGGCAGGTCCTCGAGGTACTTGGTGACGACGCGAATCTTGGCCAAGTGAGACTGGGCAGCATCGTTCTCGCCGGTGCCGTTCCATCCTGCAATGACTGGTGCGCCGAAGCGGTTGGCGGTGGACGAAACGAGGGCGCGACAGAACTGCAAGTTCGGGGCGCTGGCGGCGATCAGGAAATGGAAACGGCCGGTGCCTGCGCGGGCGGGTTTGGCCCCCTTGGTGGATGGCGCGGAGGATTTACTTCCGGTGGGGAGAGAAGCTGAGATATCGGACTGTGGGAGGAAGCCATTGTCAGTTCGAATGTCAAGCGCAAACAGCAACAACGGGTGTCTCAGAATTCCGCATCGAGGAGTTCGGTCGAAGTTTCAGCCCAAGTCGGCACGTGGGCGCGCATTCTTCCTCCCCTGGGGGGAAAAAAACTGCCCCAGTAGACGGGGAACTTTGCGACGACGATCAAAAAACGACAAGAAGTTTGAAGTAACGACGGGAAACAAAAAGGAAAGAAGCTTACCCAGCTTAGGTTCTCCGGGTAGAGGGACTGTGAGAAGATGAGAAGCGCCGAAACGATGACGAAAGCGGCCAGCAGAACGAGTCTGCGGCCTTTCAGAGCCATCAACATGGGTGCGACTCGGGTTTCATTTAGCTGCCGGATTGGCTTGAGATCCAGGTTGGGCGAATTTGGGGGGTTGACAAGCGGACAAGCAAGCTAGTGCAGTACAGTGCAGTGCAATGTTGATTGGCGACGGCGGCGATGAAGCGATATCCACGAGAGAGAAGAGGTCGAAAGTGCAGTTTGGGGTATTAGAAAGACGGTAAACGAACCAAATGAACACCTAAGGGCCGGCAGTAACGAGAGTAAGGAAGGAAAGTAGAGAAGAATATGCACACTCTCAGGACTCGAGGATCGTCGTCGTTGTTAAGGGGTTGGAGGGTAAAAGGAAGGGGAAGAAATGTGCGGTAGGGGTCGACTGTGGCAAGAAATGCTAGGTGACAGATGGCGGATGGAGATGGGCGGAGAGTTTTTTCCCCTGGGTTCAGGTTGAGGGCAGGAATTGCCAAGGCCAAGTGCCAAAGTCAGTATTTCCAAGAGCTGTCAGACAGTCAGGCCAGAGGAACAAGAGGCGCCTGCTGCCGCTGAGAATACTCCTTTCTTCCCGCCCTCGTGGTCAAACCCCTTGGTCTCGGTATCGTCTACTTTTGTCTTGGTGTGCTGCTCTTCTCGGTAAAGACAGGCGTGTAGATGGTCATGCGTGGACGCGAAAGAGAGATGGAGAGAGACACGCGCCGTCGACTGATACGGCTTTGACTTGAGCCGCACTAAAGTTTGAGTTGGTGAATTCCAGTTCAGGTACCTCTGGATCCTTGGGACAGGTACGGGTACGGAGTAGTGGACTAGACTACGAGAGCGTCGATAGTCCTTTCGAGTCCGGGGAAGAAGCGGCGGAAAGGAAATTGGAAGCAGGGTCTGACTATGTGGACCAGCTGCACGGGATGATTCGTCCAAGATTGGATTGGACGGGCGGGAGTCTCGAGGGGGGAGGCAGAGGTCAAAAAAGAAGTGTAATAATACAAGACGGAATAAAAGGGAGGATTAGGGAAGAAGGAAGAACGGGCCCGGAGTGACGACGACTTGGAGGGGCCAAGATTGAGCTAAGACCAAGGTATTTTTTGGTGGTTGTTGACACATCAAGTCTCAAAGTATCCCGTCCGTACTCTGCAGGGTGGTAAGGTACGGATATTGGATTGTTGTTGCTGCTGCTGCTGATGCGGCGGTGCGGTGTCCCAAATGCCCCAAACGATTAGGTAGACTTGTTCAGCGCATGGCAGGAAGGAAGGGATGGGTGGGCGGCACTAAGAGAGGAGGGCGTCGGAGCGGGAAGCAGCCACGCAGCCCCAGGTGAGGTGCGGAAGGAGCAGGGAGACGCTGGTGAAAGGTGCGGTGCAGGTGCGAGGAAAGATACCAATGCGAGGTACTTTCCTCGGATAGCAATTTAGGGGGGAGGGAATGTGCAGCGTGGCGTAGCGGGCGGGACGCCGGGACTGGCGGAGAGGGAGAAGTCATCTCGCCGTCCGCCTTTCGATACTTCCAACGGAAGTTCCAGGCGCTATCTGGTTCATCAGGTAGATACATGATAATCAGCTTGACCGGCACATCAATCTCCTTTCTCATGGTACGCATGTCTTGAAGATTTGATGGACAGAAGGGAGTCCCTCGCGTCCTGGGCGATGCGAGAAGAGGGACACGCACACAGGCGTCTCAAAGTTGCCGTCCCGCCCAGACACTCGCACACACTTTAGCGGTGGACGTCGCGGCGTCGCATGGCATGGGCTGGGCTTGTCATTGTTCTGTGTACGTCGGTACGCCAGTACGCGTGTTAGGAAATAGCCTACTGGGTCCAGTCGTGGGCACCCAAGGATCTTGGGACCATCGGAATATCAAGCCATGGGGAGGCACCGAGAGGAGGCGCTGACAAGCGCCGGATGGCATTGGCTAGCTCAGGGCCGGGCTGACGGTGACGGTCTGATGTTGGTGGTTCAGTGGGTGAGGTGGGTGATGACCCAAGATATCAGACTTGCCGTGTCGTCCGGCTTGGATGCTTGGTATCGCCGCATCGGTGCCGCATCGGTGACGGTTGAGACCTTAGCCGTGCTGCCTCTTGTCTTGTCTGCAGCCAGCATGGCGGAACCTGATTGACTGACTGAGTGCCTTAGCTCAGCAGTCTACAGCTGTTCGTGCTACCTGCAAATACGCACAGAAGTTTTCCAAAGTCGTACACGGGAATACTCCGTGCTGCTGTCGTTAGAGTCAGACTCAGACAGAGTGACAGACGACCCTCTTCCCTGGTGGCCTTTGGCTTGGCGCATTGCTTCATTCTTCTACCTTACATCGCCGCTTGCCTTACGCACGGCAGTCGACAGGGAGCAAGCAACATGTTCCAGTGCTCAAAAATCCGAGACCTTTTTCATGGAGTTGGCGCTGGGCACTTGGGGCAAGTCGCGAAAGGGAGGGCGCACTGTCCACCACACAGTAACTTCCGTCGTCGATTGTGGCTGTCCCGGAAGAGCCGTTGCCAGTTGACCAGTTTTAGCACTGTGGCTAAGTGTGTAACACCGCTCCTGCCAAGAGAAGCCGCTGCAAAGTGGCTGAATTTCCATGGGTGTCTGAGATGGGCTACCAACCGTTGCAGACGCCACCGCCCTCGTCGATTCGTCCGTTGTGCTCCCTTGGTGCTTGGAGAGTCTTGGGGTCTTGGAGTACCTATCGTAAGGTAGGTATCGTCGGCGCGTGCTCTGCTCTTGCTTCTCTCTGGGTCGATACATTGCACGTTGTGCGCCGTCTCGTGGATGGAATCTCCATGCTGGCTCCTGAGTAGATGTTGATGGATAGAGGCTGTAAATTGCGAGCGGCACTTGTATCTCCACGACGGTTTCATTGTGTAAATCTACCTGGCGCAAGAAGCGAAACTGTAGGTGGGTTCCAGATGGGAAAGAGATAAGATGCGAATTGCGTGCTGAGGTAAGCGGGGCGACGTTAATCTGCGATTCTGCGCAGTTGCACAGTTGCACCTTCTATCAGTGACCTCACAACGAAGAAAATAAAAAGATGACATAATGGCTCATGAATACGTACTTTTCTACGTCGAACTGGAAGTGTCCCCGCCGCCATCCTGAGGTCACACCGTCTCCACCGCATCCCGTCCGTTCCCCTTTTCCACTCCCACGGCGCAGCCACACTCCTCCTCCACCTCATTCCTCGCTGCTGCAGTTGCTGTCATGAGCCCCAGTGTCTTGGTTCGACGTGCTGCTTGTGCTGGAGCTGGTGCCATCTCATGCTTGGCTCGACCATAGGGTACCTACGACCTACTACTGAGCTTTGCTTCTTGGTCCTCATTTCCCGCCCTGCATCTCTGCTCAGCCAGTCGCATCCAATGTCTTTCAAGTTGGCAAGGCTGCTTCCCGCTCGGTTTTTTCTTTGGTTTGCCTGCAACACCGCGCGGCTTGGCTTTGTAGCCGTCCCCTATTTGCTGCCATCGACCATCACCCTCTCCACCGCGCTTCCACCGTTCCGCTCCTCCCTCCCCAAGAAAGAAGCCAAGGGAGGGAACCAAACCCAAAATAAGAAGGAAAAAGGCTGGGCATCGCCAGACTTCGGATTCATCGGCTTCTCTTTTCTTGTCAGCACACTGCAGCAAAGCGAATTGCGCCCAGCTGATCAGCCAAGTCAATTATCCGAACACAGCTTCCTTCTCCCCTCCTTCGTGCAGCGGCTGCAGGGCCACAGACGAGATAGGCACAGAGCGAGAGAAACATGAACATGAGACAGGCATCGCCATGCTGCCACGCGCACGTCTTTCTGTTGGAGCCCTGCCTAACACTTGTCCCTTACCTAAACCCAGAGTGAGACCTGCCAAATAAACCTCCCGTGCCATGACAGAACACACGGTAGGGTACTCACTAATGATAATCAATGGGCCCGAAACCTGTGAGCAGCCGCAGACAGAAAACGAATCATCCGGATAGATTACCTTCGGTAACTACTACTCTTCAGACTTCTCCGACAGCCCCTACATCATTACGGAGTATCTGACCTTCGGCTTGCTCGCTCGCATCTCATCAAGCTAGATTTTCCTCCTTGGATGCTGGACCCTGCCTGGAGCCGCATTTAAATGAGATCGGCCAGTGACAATGACTCTCTTACCCACGCGCTAGGGAACATATACTACGTACCTCAGTATTCGTAGCGAGCACACACAGTACTGGAGTCGCTTTACCCCCACTTTTCCGCCTGCTTTTTTGTTTTTGGCTTTTTTCTTGATATGAAGAAGGGACGACAGCTGGAGTCTTGGAGAGTCAGTCTCCAAAGTCTGTTTAGAAAGCTCGGGGCGTGCATGCGCAAGCAAGCCTTGTATAGATAGCTAGGTAGCTGTGCGAACGGGAATAGGTACGTAGGGTCTGAGGCTTTTTTAGATCAAGAATTGATAACGACGCGACAAAAGATGCAATTGCCAATCATGCACCAGCAGCGGCCGCTCAACTGGAATCAATCATTCTGTGGAATTTCTCCAAGTGATCCCAAATAGATAGAACCAGACTTTGAGACATCAACAAGACCCGCCGCCTAAACGCGATTAAACGTGTTCTAGAGCTTGATGGACTGATCCAGCTTTAGCCAGTGATCACTGATCCTCACAGACTCGCCTCAGCTAACTGGAGCTCTCGCTCGCCAGCTAAGGTAGGCGTGCTCCAAAAATGCTTCCATTCCACTTTATCCAGGTTTCTTCATGATTGACCCGCCGAACCCCAGCCGGGCACAGTCCCGTCCCACGCAATTGGCCAACCTGGCGGCAGGTATTTGCCTTTTTCTCACAGGCCCTCCCCTTCTTTGATGATGTTATCCCAAGTTGCCTACTCCAGTAGCCTGTAGGTGACCCCCCCGGTCTGCCAGAGATAATTGCTGCCCTTCCTCCAATTGAACCGCATCCCCGGTCTCTCATCCCGCAATTACACTGTATCTGGCTCCTCTCCTTTATTAACTAGCCCCGTTTCGCGAGGTACTTGCCATGGGATTCTTGTGGACCCTCCTCCCCCCTTCCCTTGCCGTCCGGCCGCACCAGGATGAATCAGGGCCCCAGGCTTACGCGGCTGCCAAGGGGGGTTATGGGGACGCTCTTTTCTTCCCAAGACAAAGCTCACATCGGACGCAAAATCCCACCCGCCACCGCACTGTACGAAAGTACATCCCACCGCATCTTTGGTCCCGTCGGGCGTGTTCATCCCGCCCACCAGTCACAGAGCTGTATCCGTACGGTCTACCACAGGTTGAGTGACTTTCACTCTTTCCCAGACCCGCGAGGCCCTCCAACCACCCCCGCCAGTCTCCAGACTAGAAATGAGGATAGATGACGATGATGACCTGGCAGCCACTGATCGATAATGGAGAACTGCCCCCCGAAGCCCTGTCATCCCCATCTGAACCACCACCACCACCTCATCCAGAGTGAATGAGAGCGCACTCACCCCATTCGTTGTATAGGTAATCAACCCGTGAACATAGAGAATCCCGAATGGGAAACACGGGACATCCGCTTTACTTCATGTAGAGGAGCCGCCAGCACGCTGTAAAATGAAGCGGCGTCGCGGTGAGCCGGCCAGTCGGTAGGACTGCACTGGAGTCAGGAGAGAGAGGGAGAGAGAGAGAGAGAGCCCGGCTACTAGCTGCCGTTTAGCTCAAACGGGCGGGCAGATTCCCTCACAATGTACATCACACACACGCGCGCCGGCGGCGGTCTAATATCAGCACCAGCGCCAGCGACGGCGCGATCGACTACAAGACCGTTCGAGAACGACAGGGTCGCATCGAGACTAGAGCAAGCCGAACCGGCCAGATTTTGCCGATGTAATCATCCCCAAACGCGCAAGCCTGGGTTTGATAGGCGGGTTGGATATTCAGACTTTTGAGTTCTGCTGTATGAAGTGTGAAAAAGTACTTGTAGTTGCGTACGTGAGCGTGTCCACGACACCCTCTGTCCACTATTGAGTATCGCCTCGTGACAGAAGATGCCGTATCGCCCGTAGGCGTGGCTGAGTCTCGTCTCGCTCCCTTACTGTGGTAGACACGTCGTAAGCTCTTCGCTGAGCTCTCATATGAGAGCGGGGTGGTAAAGCCAAAAGTGTATGAGATGAGAAGCCGCGATGCCGGGAGTCGTTTCCATTCAATAGACTCGGGAGAAACCCAGACAGATCTGAGAGACCCCTTACTGCGTACCTGCACTACTACTCTACGTACGGATAGTGGCGGAGGATCAAGTCTTGTTTCTGACACTTTTTTTTTCCCCGTCTCTATGTGGTGTGCTCTCCTGATCCCCGAGCCTGGAAGTACCCTTACTGTTTGAGGAAGCTCCCTTGGGTTAGCCAGAACAGCCCAGGTACGTGTGTAATCTATCGTGTGCCGGGGCCGGGAGATGGTTGTAAGTCACCAGCTCGCTCACTCACACACTCACTCACTCACTCAGTCCACTTACTCATTCGCTCAATTATTCACTCACCATTGGAGGATGCATCTCATGTCTATTGTTGGGAAGTATTTTGAGCAGGACTCTAGTAGGTATCCGTTCTTCCATCGTACACCGGAACGGCAAATGAACAAGAAGGGGACTCGAAAAAAAGGAGGACTGGGCAGTGAGCAATGCCGCCAGCCGAAACGTCATTGATGCCAAGCGCGGAAGCGAGAAAGATGCCCGTTTGAGTATCTCGGCATCCTCTGCTTCCTCTTCTTGTCCTTCCACCCCGGTGGGTCATGTCTCCTCTGCCATGATCCATCCCTCCCTCCCCTCTCCACCCTGTGCCTGTCCTCAATCCCGTGTGTTCACTCTCTCTGAGATAGTCGGTCTCCGTACCGTGCTTCCCACTCCTATTCCCACCCTCTCTCTCCCGTCCTTCACCTACGCAGTAGGTATCCGTCTGTCTTGCCGTGTGCCCGCCTCACCACTCACTTCACTCCCCATTCCTTGTCTCTCCACACCTCTTTTCAACCCTTCCAGTTCCTGTCGTTCCCTTTTCTAAAAACTTACCTTAATCCTGCCCTGCCCCCCTGTTCCCAGACCCTTCTGAATACATTGCTGCATCGGATTTAGCTGAAGCCTCGCAAAGCCCGCGATCCGAAGTCTTGGGTTCATTTACAGCCTGTTCCACTGAGCAAACGCCCTTGCCTTGTGCCTTGTACCTCCCGTCTCTGCTATCCGCCCCCCAGTTACTACACCTCACACCTCACCTACCTCCCTCCATCTATCTAGGTCCCTATTTTCTTTTATTCCTTCTTCCTTCATTCATATCGTCAACCACACACTCCTTCGATCGCTCTGCCTCTCGTTTGGACCTTTTCTCTTTTATTTACACTTTGTCCCATCGTCCGCAGCCGTTCCTCCATTCGTCGCTTTTTAGTCCGATATTTTTTTTTAAGCTCGACTACCTAACGCACGCCCGTTTGCCGCCCAAACCCTCCCCCCCCGCCCGCTCGGGACCGATCTACGTCGTGAAACCAGGACAGTCGTCAGCTTTCTCGACTTAAACCCTCCTACGCGACAGGGAACCTGTGGACGAACACACGGTCTCTAAACAAATAAACGAAAGAGGATTCCAACACCTTGCGACGAAAACGGGGAAACCTCAAAAGGCTCAACCTCTTTTTAACAACGACCCAAACGCCAAAAACCCACCACTTCCCACCCCTACCGTCCCGACGACGAACCCTTTTGGAAGCAATGGCGGAATCCAGCAACCTCAAGAACGAGGCTCGACGGAGCGAGGAGGGCCACGGCCTCCTCAACGGCGATGAGAAGCGAATCGAAGAGAGCTACGATCTCGAGGCCAACAGCACTGCCGCCACCGAGCAACAGGCCAACGCTGACAGAGTCCGCAACCCCGTCGAGTACACCATCTCACCTCAGGTCAAGTTTGGCTGGTTGAGCGCCTACTTCATGTTCAGCTTGGTTTTGACCCTCTACAACAAGTTGATCCTCGGAGCGGTATGTGAATTGCCTCTTCATTATCTCTGCATCCGCGAGCTCCGAATTCTCGTCAGAAATGTCGAGAAAACGAATGAGCAGCGATGAAGCGATAAAAAAAGCACCCATTCTCGATGGGCTTCCTCTAACTTTCATTCTAGTTCCCCTTCCCGTGGCTTCTCACCTCACTTCACGCCACGTGCGCGAGTTTGGGTTGCTACTGCTTGCTGCAATGCGGCTACTTCACCATGTCCCACCTGGGACGCCGCGAAAACCTCATTCTCCTCGCCTTCAGCTTGCTCTTCACCACCAACATCGCCGTGTCTAACCTGTCACTGTAAGTAACCAAAAATCCTTCCTCTTTGGGTCTGTTCTGTGCTGCGCCGCATGATGGCGCACTTTCCGCCCGCACCTCCGCCGCCGCCGGAAGGGGCGGAAATCGAACAAACTCGACGGGCAACGATGCTAATTCACTACGCAGTGCCATGGTCTCCGTGCCATTCTACCAAGTCCTCCGAACTACCGTCCCCGTGTTCACGGTTCTCATCTACCGCGTTGTCTTTGGTCGCACTTATGAGAACATGACCTACCTGACGCTGGTTCCCATCATGATTGGTGCTGCTCTGACCACGATTGGCGAGTACACTTTTACCGACCTGGGTTTCCTGCTCACCTTTGCGGGCGTGGTGCTTGCTGCGGTCAAGGTACGTTATTTTGGGTTTGCCCATCTCCCGTCCATCATCCGAAATACAACGCTTTGTCGAGTTTGCGGAGAGTGGTCCCGGCGACTCCAATTGGGTCCGCCATCTCCGCCCTCTGCGCCCTCTGAAACTCGGCCAGCAAACCTTCGTCCCATTTACAGTGCTACTATCAATGCATTTTACAGTTGGCTGACGAACATATTAACAGACCGTCGCTACCAACCGCATTATGACCGGGCCCCTGGCTCTCCCCGCTATGGAGGTCCTGCTGCGCATGTCGCCCTTTGCGGCTATGCAATCTTTGGCCTGCGCCATCGCCGCCGGCGAGCTCGGAAACCTCAACACCATGCGCGTAGAGGGTAACATCAGCCTCGCCACCCTTATCGCTCTTCTCGGCAACGGCATCCTCGCATTCGCCCTCAATGTCGCCTCTTTCCAGACGAACAAGGTCGCCGGTGCCCTGACGATGAGCATCTGCGGTAACCTGAAGCAGTGCCTGACGGTTGGCCTCGGCATTATCGCCTTTGGCGTCGAAGTCCATCTGTTCAACGGCTCCGGGATGATCCTCACCATGATTGGTGCTGCGTGGTACAGCAAGGTCGAGCTCGACCGCAGAGCCCGCAAATAAACTTGCTCACATGGATTGGCGAGCTGCGCATTTCATACTGCGCGTGTAACGAATATTAGTAACGGCCGAATATCATATAGAAACCGGGCGCAGGCAGAGCCGGGTCAGCCTGTGAGGGTGTCGGGGGTGTATCGGGAAAGCGTCTGGTTGTATCAACCACCGGAGCCGCGGTCGACACCGTCCAACAGCCACGGAGCTGCGGGACAGGACATAACGATCTGCCCGCACATCGTGGCGTCGGGAAACCCGGATGGGTTAGGGCAGCGCTGGCGGAAGCCGATCAAAGCTGGCGGCAAAGAAGCCGGTAGCGCTTCCGCCCTTCCCCCGAGTTTCCCTTGCCGACGCACCGCACTCTGGACAAGATGATGCCGCGTGTAAGATGGAGGAGCCGAGTGCACCGACGAAACAAGAGCATGCATGCCGCGGGCCATAGGGTTCGCGCATCGATTTATACCCTTCGCATGGAGTAAAGGAATACGGGCATAAACACGGGATGTTTTCATCAAAAAAGGGCTAGGGAAAAGACTTCATTTGTCCTCTAGAAACCCTGGGCTTCTTTTTTTTTTCTTCTTCTCTTTTTTCTCTTCATCCACTTCTAAATTTACCGTCAGGTAATAATACAAACCTACCATTCAAAGACGACTCTATCAAATGTTCCCCATGGGTTTTCTTGTGTGATGTAGTGTTGACTGTTCCAGAGTGCTCATCTAGAGACCAAGTGTGATGATTACTCCCCGGGCTGGATGACGGGTAGTCATCTGCAAGACACCACCCCACGCGGGCGCATCCCGTGGGCTGAGTGGGTGTGGTCGGAGTTGTTCATCCCCCCTCATGCTCTCTTCCCCCCCAAAAAGCCATCTGCTGCAGAAAACCACATGCGTGAGCTGATCGAGAAACGCAGGCGGGAAAACCTGCTGATGGTGCCGTCATGTGAACTCAATTGGGCCACCATTCCCCCCCCCCCCCCACACGCACTACCAACTCAGCTCAGTTTACTTCACCCCGATAAAAAATCTGATAAACGCTGCTTCAATCCGTCAACTCCTCCCGCGGGTTTCCATGAGTGGTAATTGTAATGTTTATTGTATAATGGCAATCTGGAAACCGCCTTGAAAAGAAACCCCGATAAAAAGAAGAAGAGGTAATCTAGTCATGTCGATTGATACCCGACCCCGCAAAGATGACGATAATCTCGCCGTCGCGAAAGCTTCGAGACAAGGCCACGGAGGGTTTACTCCGATCATGTCATCGACCATCTACGATACGTCAGATGCAAAGCCAGTCCTGAAGTCAGGGGCCGAGGATGCGGATGGACAAGGCACCACCGACGGCAAAGACGCAGACGCCAAAGACACCGAGACCAGAGACGACGACGGCAAAGTCGCGGCGTTCCTGGAGAGGAACGGACTCCACTCCTCCGCCATCACGGCAGCGCACGAGTTCGCGCAGGCAACGTTTCCCGGTTGCGAGGTGGAGAGGGCGCCTTTTCAGGGGTACTGCTCTTACACGCTGCTCCTGAGGCCGCTTCCCGGCGGAGCGACGGGACGGCGGCGGGATAGTGGAGTCGAGGCCAGCGGAGGGGGGAGCGTCGGGAGCCAGAGTCAAAGCGAGAGCGGTACGAGTTGGAAAAGCGGCGGCAGCGGCGGCGGTGGTGGAAGGCTCATTCAGTTCCGGCCTAGGAGGCACGGTATCGATGTCGAGATGTGTGGCGAGGCTAGGGGTGTGTTTGGGGATGGGATCGTGCCGGGCGTGCAGGAGCTTGGTATTTTGGAGGGGCTGGATATGACGATGACGACAAATCGTGGCGGAAAGGGGAAGAAGGAAGGGGAGCTGTGTGCGTATCTCCTGGAGAGGGTCGGCGGTGTCTCGTTGACGGGGTTCCGGCAGATATCTGCGGGTCTGGAGACGGACCCGAGGGCGCCGAGGCGAAGGCTTGTTGCGGATCTTGCTGTCGTCTTTGCGGATTCATGGAGAGGTAAGCTGGAGGGGTTTGGGGGTGGAGGACCTGGGGATAGCGTTAGAGGGCGAGTGGGCGGGAGTTTGGCGTGGCGGTTGGAGATTATGGAAAAGGGGTTGCCAAGTGAGTTTAGGGACGTTGTGAGAGAGGTCAGGAGGGATCTCGGGGGTATTGAGGGGTTGCCTTGGGTTGTTACGCATGGGGACCTCGTGCCGGATAATATCATGGTTCATCCGCCGCACGGGGCAGAGGGCGAGGGCGAGGGCGGCGAGGCGTGGGTGAGGCAGAAGCTGGGGTGGGGGAGGGAGGAGAGGGCCGGCGGGCTGGTTGGGTTGATTGACTGGGCCGAGGCGGAGTGGCTACCGTTCGGGGTGGGGATGTACGGGCTTGAGGAGGTGTTGGGGGAGGATGTTGTCGTTGATGGAGGCAGTGATGTCGACTTTGTTGGTGGTGGGAGTGCTGCTACTACTACTACGACGACAACTATGACTACGACGGCGAGGTTCGAGTACTACCCCGAAGCAGCCTCCCTCCGCGCACTCTTCTGGGATGAAGTCGGACGCGTGCTGGGTGACGAGGAGGTTATCCGCCGGGCGAAGAGGGCTCAGGTCCTTGGGGTCCTGCTTTGGAGGGGCATTGCCTTTGATGACGGCGCGTTGGGGAGGGTTGTGGACGAGGAGAGGGACGCGTGGGACTTGCAGAGGTTGCGGGCTTGGGCTTTTGAGGATGGGGGGCTCGGGTTGACTCGTGGCAAGGTTGAGGTTGAGGTGGTTCGGGGGAGGAGGAGGAAGGGTGGTAGACAGTTTTTGAAGAGGGTTTTGGGATGTATTAGAGGATGCTTTAAGGGTTTGTAAGATGGCTCTTGCGGGTGTTTTGGCTGAGTACTATATGGAAGGGGATGGCTAGACTACGGAGTTCTAGGTGATCTGTGAGGGCTTCCGAGACTTCGAGACGGACTTAATCAATTCATTGCCTGCAGTGGAGCATTGTGAATGTCTTGTTGGAAATATGATTTCGACGTTTCTGCTCGTAAACGTAAATAGAAATTTTCTCTGTTCACCCAACCCACTCAGACTACCCATACATGACGTGAGCCATGGCTTGAGCCTTTTTCTCGCAAGTTCGGAGATCTCTCGCCATTTCACTTCATCTTACTCTCGTGCTTACACATTGGGTCCAAAAACTGGTTCCAAACGAAGGCAACGATGAGTTTAGGACATCCCATGCATTTTCACTTGCAAACACGGATAGTAGACATGGACGAGGTTGACAAGGCCGAGAAAGATCTCTTAATCTTGAGAGCCCAGGGTGTCGATGAAAGTGTTCCAACTTCTCTCTCGAAGGCAATATCTCTAGCGACGGAAAGGTGGTATGCTATGTTTGCGCAGAAATGTTGATGAGCAAGAAAGGTCTCAAGTATCACTTCTCATTGTTCGAGAGTGTTGTAAAGGGGCAAGGCACGTGAGGCTTTTCTGCCGATGTAGTCGTCACTAAGACGTTAATGTATGAATAATATCTCTCCATGACCCAAGTTCTATAAACATCACTCGAAAATCAGGGTTCGCGAACTAGACAAGTAGCAGCAAGGTTCAAGAAGTCCAATCCATCTAAACATGCTCGTCCTCGTTGCGTCTCGAAATTTGGCACCGCCTTTTCGAGTAGAATTTGTTATCTGTATGAGTGGTCAACTAGGGTTGAGGTTTTACAGATTGTACTTGTGGGCAAAGGCACCCTTCGTATTCCCAAAGCTATAGGCTGTCCGCAATCTCTCGTGAGAATGTTTCTCGTATACGGGATTTTGACAGATTGAACAGAAATTGACTGGGGCCAAGTATCACAGAACTGGCCCAGGAATGTTAAGCCTCCGCTTCTCTTGCTCCATTACTTGCCCATGTAAGTGCGTTGACTTTATCCTAAGCTTTATCCTCAAACAACTCTACCTAGAAGCGGGGATGAATTATGTTACTAGACGGACTTATCCATCTATTCCTATATGATACTAGATGAACAATGTTTCCGTGCCCTGCAATCAACGCATTTGCCAAAAATGTGTTTCAATGACCGGGACAAGAGCCTCCATCCCACTTTCCACTGAAATCTACGAAGCAAGTCCGATTGCAATCATACCATCATATGACCAGGTCATCGTCTTCTCGCGCCAAATACTTCATCACACAACGATACGGCTCCAAGACAACCGAACCAACCCCGACAACTCCGGATGGCCGTCCAAACCCCAGGTCATAAGCCCCATCCCCCGCCCCTTTTCTCCTATTTCATGACCAGGTCCGAGCCATCATACATTCAGCTAAAGCTCTCCAAAGGAATAACTAGACCGACTACCTGTATACCACAGTAGATGAACTAGCTACATTCCTCGTCTATTCGGAAGAGCTTGCTAGAAGCACAACAACAGGTAAGAACACGCGCCAAAAGGGCGACCGGCCATCATGTCACGCTGATCACGGTAGCCTTGTGAGCAGAGAGCGATACCCCACGAGCTTCACACGGAAGATGAGAGATAGAGACGCGGCAGAGACTAGACGAGTGCTCGGACTGGAAAATATCGTTCGCCGTCACCGTGTAGATCGCGGAACGCAATGGCTAGATGCAGCCTTGAGATATGGGCAGATAGACCAAGTGTCAAAGTGAACGGGACCAACACCAAAAAGAGGAAGATGAGGCGTCTGTGATCTGATGCTTCGTGATGAGAAGATGGGGGATGGATCGAAGTTTGGGGGGAGCGGGAAACTCCTTATATACGTGATTTCCAAAGAGGCAGGCGAACCACGCTTCCCACTTCATTCTGATGACCAGCGCCAGCCACACCGGGCGAACCAGGCGGACCAGCACCAACACCCACCCACACCAGCTGTAAGTCATGATCAGGCTCTCGCCGACCTACCTCCCAACGAATATGCATGCATGTTGATGAATGGAATTTACGCCTGCCCTGTACAAATCACATTTTTCACTTTCCCCCGTAACATGAAACATGAAACATGAAATCTTTCTTACCGCGGTCATCAAAGGACAGAAAGCTCTGCCTACAGCCGATGCTTCGAGACGAAAGAGCCAGGATGAGAATCAGTGTCACCAAAGACCACCTCAGTGGGTACTAGCTACCGCATTTCCCGATTCCAACCAGCCAACACGGCAAGACACAGCCAGGCGCTTCGAGACACAAAAGTCGGGTAATAACGAGGCAGGCTTCCAGGCAGACAGACAGGAAAGAAGCCTACAGCCTGCCTTGGTGTTGCAGCTAGGGTTTGCAGCCTGCAGAGCCGCCCGCCCCCAAAGATGTGACTGCGCCTCGAGCGGGCCGCCTTACACACTTTTGACAAGAAAGACGGGAGTGCGTTGTAAGCCTCACTTTGGCCGGGCGGAGCGGCGCGGGAGGATGCAGTGTGCTGATCCCCCCCTCAGCCTGCATGTGGCACGCATCTCTAGAAAATTCCATAGGGGTTGTGCTTGGGTGTGACTCTGTGAACGGCGTCCTCGAATAAGTTTCCCAAGGCACCCTTAAGTATCAAGGGTTGAGCCGCTGCTTTACGCCCGCGTATCTCGTCGGGAGCGGCTGGCAGTTGATCCGATTGATCCGGCCCGTCATACTGGACCGTATCGAGCAATCCTGCAACACTGTACAACAAGCAACCCCTGCTCTTACCTAAACTACGCCTTACAACATCCGCTCATCATAGGTATACCGGCCACGCCATAGCCTCCCTTACGACGACGACGGCGACGATGGATGCCCTCTCAGCCTTGCCGCCGGCCCAATGGTGTCAGATATTTTTCGGGCTTTCAACAGCGGTAGTATTGGCTATCCAGGTAGTCCCAAAGACAACTCAGCGTCTTCTGCTCGACTACGGCGCCCGCTCGCCGGCTAATACCACCGACACCGACGACCGGACGGAGGAGGCCACTGGTGCCAATGGATTGGACCTCTTCACCCAAGCCGCCAAAGCCGTGACGTCCTTTGGACAAATTCCACACGCGTGGTTCATGCACTTCTACGTCGCATCCGTTGCAGGTTCGGCTTTCTGGGCATGGCAATATATTCAAAGCGGTTCATTCATGGCCATTATCTCAGCCCGGCAAGCGGCTTCGGGCGGTCCATACGTGAGTTTCGAGCAAGCGGTTCTCGTCTGGACGTTGATGGCGCTACAAGGCACGAGGAGATTGTATGAGTGTCTCTTTGTGATGAGGCCGGGGTCTTCTAAAATGTGGTTCGTTCATTGGCTGCTTGGATTGGGTTTCTATCTCTGCATGAGTGTATCTGTCTGGGTTGACGGCTCAGGTGAGGACTGTCATCATCCACTTCCAGATACACACTCACCTTTCCCAGCTGCCTTGAGGCAAGAAGCAAGACCGAATTTGGAGGGCCTTCTGTCGCCTGGAGTCGTCGCTGGGACCGTCGCATACCTCTGCGGATGGTCTAATCAGCATAAATGCCACAAACACCTGGCCAGCCTCAAGAAGTATTCATTGCCGGAGCGGGGCCTGTTTCGGTATCTCATCTGCCCTCATTACACTTGCGAATGCCTGATCTATTTGGGCCTTGCCATGATAGCCGCGCCAAAAGGCCACATCGTCAACCGCACCCTCATGGGTGCTTTGTGGTTCATTGTCGCCAATTTAGGCACCACGGCAGATGGTACCAAGCAGTGGTACGTGCAGAAGTTTGGTGCTGAGAAGGTCGCCAGCAAATGGAGGATGATACCCTTTGTCTTTTAGACACACTTGCGCCTCGATTATCACTTCTTTCCAAACAACCCAAACTTGGCTCCGAGTTTCGACACCTGCATGACATCCCGATATGTCAGACTCGTCCTGGTAGCGCGCGCGCTTCGGCCGGCGGGAAAGTCTTCCTGCGAGCGCAAGAGGTTCCAATTCACGATCGTCTCAGTAGACAACTCGACGTCCTCCTCGATATCGGCAATGCCGTGGAGGTAATCGATGTAGAGGTCGTCGGTAGTGATGAGAAGACTCCTGGGTTCCTGGAGAATGCGTCCCACAGGCTCTGGGTCCATGACACCATCTTCCTTGGTTTGGTATAGGTTCAGACATAGACTTGCTCCAAGACTGACAGTACACACAACTGGATGATAGGCAGCCCCGTCCTATACCCAGCATGAGATTCAAAGCTCTTCACGTGAACACATACCATGTACTCAACTTATGCGGCATGATTCCCACTCCCGGAGGATACTCGTTTATCAGCACGTGGTTTGGTCGTTTGTGAGGACTGCCAGCGAAGAGATTGGACGAATCAGGATCGGCGGCAAGAGGTAAGGAAAGGATTCGCGAGATCACAGGTTCTTGCAACCACTGTGGCAAGGGAGCATCGATCAGCTTGTTGTTGATAAGATCGGACGGCCATGTTTGGAGACGTCGATGAGTCAGTTGCTTCCAGCGGGGTTTCGGAGCCTCAGCTATCTGTTGGTTGCAAGGGCAAGTCAGTCACAGCATTTGGCTTGACGGACGTCGTCGAAATAAGTTTTCCGTACCTTTTGTAATATTAAGCGTTCCTCCTCCTCTGATATGAAGTCTGCAATGTAATAAGAGGATGGCGGAAGCTTCTTGACTCTGACGTTGTCGAGGGAGGCAGGTAAGTTCACGGCTCCCAAAGGCATATTGCTGGCTTCGCCTCGCAGCTGTGTGGTCGCAAACGTTCGATAGTTGGGACACGGGTGGTGTGATCTGGGGCTCCGCCCAACTTTATGGATGGGGATCCCAAACGAAGTGACGTGATGCTGTGTGTAGAGGTCGGGAGCCTAGGTACGTCGAAGCTCGTCACAGGTCGGCACGAGGTGTGCAAAAGTCGTCGACGTAAGATCCAAGCTCTGGCTGCAAAGCAGCATACGAGGCCAAGGGTCAAACGGTTCTGCGTCCAGCTGGGAGGATCCAGGCAACGATGGGAGCGACGAGGATGGCAAGGTTGGGTGGAGAAGCAAGGACGGGAGCTGGATCATGGATGGATGGAAGCGACGGGCAAGAAAACGTCCAGCTACAGTCTCTAACCTCAGGCTTGAGCGCGTTTGCTTGTGCTTGTCAGACACGCCAAACCTGAGGTCGCCAGTTGCCTCAAGCAGTCAAGGATGGGAGGTCTTGCACTAATACCAAGAAAAAGGCGAGAACGGACGCCTGCTTAGAGCACGCTAGGTCTAATCAGGAAACGGCAGGTCGATTAGTCACAGGCAGCGTGTGACTGACGGTAAGGTGTCCGTTCCCAGTGGCAGTGGTGCTATCCGCCACAGTGTATGATTGGCTGCTCTGGTCCTGCCTCATGAGCTCTCCGTTTTCAATGTCGCTCATGATTCGCCGTTTGAATTCAAGATGCGACGGCCGGGGAGGGGGAAGAGGAGCCTGCTGCGACTCTGGAGGGGGCTGGGATTGGCCGAGGTGGGGCCCAGGGAATTTGGAGGCTTCGATACGTACCTTTCGAGTCGCACCAAGGACACGCACCGGGCAGATTCGAGGTTTCCCACCAGCAGGAGAAAGACGATTTTTTGGACTAGCAAACCACAGAAAAAAACCTTGGATGGACGGGCTACTCGTTTTGCGTTGGAACCATAGGAAATTTCCGCAGGTTGGTGTGTCCAGGGTCAGGTGGCCCAGCGACAACGTGCAGCCAGTGATGCAGCTTGCGAAGAAAAAGACGACGGCGTTGCTATCTCAATCTCACCCTATCTTTCTGAAGCAAGGTGGGTGCCGGGGCTAACGTCCAGGTTGAATCCTGGGTCGTTTGGTCTGCCACCCAAGGAGACAGACAGTGTACTTACTTTTCGTCCAAGACGGGTACTCGTCGATACTGCAAAATCTCGCCGTGATTCCAAGTACCGCTTGTCAAATTCGACCCGAGAACGTACCTAGTAGTGCCGACTGCTGGCTGATGTGGCCACCTCAGTCGTCAGGCTGCCACTGTCAGTGCCGCTACCACTAGGTGCCTGCTGCACACCTCTCACTTTCCATAGCCTGCTGCTTGCCTCAGGGCTGCGTGCTGCGTGCTACGTGCCTGCTTGTCTGATGCCCGGCTGCTACTGCTGCTGCTTTCTCCGTCTTCCCGTCTCCTTTGCTGGTTGTGACTGTTCCGTGTCCCGTATTCTCTCGAGCAAGTCCCCTCCCCCCTGGTCGGGCCCAATCAAAGAGGTGGCGATCAGACTTTTTGACTCTGAAGACTCGCTCGCGGCCCCATTTCCACCTTTCAGCCAAATCGAAGCATCAAGCGTCACCAACGGTCCCTTTTCCCGCATTCTCTACCAACGCCCGCCTCCATCCATCTTGCACGCATTATTCTGTCCCGGCCAGGCGCTTCCTTAGTCGTTTTTCTGTTCTTTTCATCCTCGACGTGATCCGATATCCACACAAGCAACGTTTTCCTCCCCGTCCGACACCCACGCCCAACGCCTTTCTCGCGCGCGCACCCCCCGTGACTGACCTGGCCACTTTCTCTTAGGGGGGTCACCTCGAGCGACTGAGAAACAGTCCATCGACCGCCTTCAATTCAATTCGCCTCTCTAACCCTCTTTCTCGCGGCCGACCTTTGGCCAGGATGGTGCTGGCCAGTTTTTCGACCTCTAGATAAATGATATGGATGCGCAGAATGCTGCCGGGTCCGACAAGTCGAAGCCCGTCGCTACGGCGGAGAAGCGACCGGGCAATCACCAACCTGACGATTCTCATGAGTCCAACAGCAAACCGACCAAGAACGTGGACGATTCCATCAAATCCCCGCCTCATCTACCCAAAGACGTCAAGCCTAGCGTAATCGTATCTCGCGCCCCTCCCGTAGCCGACGACGCTCCTGTCGACCGAGACTCTGATGCCGAGACCATCGTGCTACCTGGTAAGGATGGCCACTCACCCTCCAAGGCGAGGAAGGTAAAGCACGAGGATCGCAGCGATGGAGAGCCCCCAGTTCTTCCGGTTCCCCTGGTCCCCAGGAAAAATCGTGACGCGAGTGCTAGCAGAGACGGCGACAAGGAAAAGACGGCCAACCCTGCCCGTCTGTCCGAAACGGCTTCCTCTCTCGGTTTGAAAAAGAAGCGCCTTCACGATCAATCGGCCAGGAGTAAAGATGGTTCCAGCGGCCTCAGCTCGGCTCCTGCATCCCCTCCCCACCACAGGCGTCGATCTGGTGGGCACTCCGATTCCGATACGGGCGCTGACCGTAGGAAGTCCCCCAAGCTGTCCCTGAAAGACCGGGCAAAGTCCATCGACAGAATTCCCCACAAACGCAAAGCTTCCAGGGCAGACTCGGATGATGAGGCGGAAAATCGAAAGGTCCGACGGCAACGAATCTCGGACCACAACACCATAGAAGCTCGAGCTCGCCTACCCAAAGAACCAAAGTCTTCGTCTTCGTCTAGGAGAGAACACGACGGCCACTCAGGATCACGCACCAGATCCGTCTCTCCACACCACCCACGTGCTCACAGGCGGAGCGTCTCGACCCAACTTCCCGCAAACTCGTCTAATGGCCTGAGCTACAAGAAGAAACGTCTGCCTCCTCCGCTGCAATCTACAGACTATCACTCGGATGAGTCCTCTGCCAGTGGTAGCCCTCATCCTCGGAGCTCCAAGCTGCGAAACCTCTCCACCCCTGCCACCGCTGAGTCAAATATGTCGCCGGCCAAGATCGCACCACACAAGAAACATCTCGACGCACACGGCCAAACCTTCCTCGCTAGGGCATGTGCCCGAGGCGAGTACGACCTGGCCAAGCAAAGACTAGGAGAGCGACCCGAGGACCTTAATGTGGCCGACTACGCTGGCAACACACCACTTCAGATTGCCGCGATTAACGGATACGAGGACATCGTCAAACTTCTCATCGACGCGGGCTGCAACTTGGACTGTGTCAATTATGACAAAGACACACCATTGTTAGACGCTGTTGACAACGGTCACTTGGGAGTGGTCAAGTTGTTGCTGAATGCGGGGGTAAATCCGAGGAAAGCCAACCTGAGCGGAGAGGAACCTCTGGACCGAGTCAGCGACGACTTGGAGAATGCAGACGATTTCCGAGCCGCATTGAATGAAGCCAAGTCACGACAAGGAGAACGCAGACGCACATCCGAAGACCACCACCCTACCGATCAATTCGATAGTAGATCGTCTCATGGCCCGGACAGTCCTCGTCGGTCACCTGCACCATCTGCGTCCAACGCCAGCGGTCGGCGAGCCGGCACTGTCAGGGCAAACAAGACAAGCAATCATCTCTTGTACATGTCACTTGACGACAAGACGTTACGACAAGCTGCAGGAAAGGGCGACGAGGAGACTGTTACGCGAATTTTGCAGGTCAAGGACGGTTGTGATGACTCAGAAGCCATGGTTGCTGCCGCTCGTGGTGGGCATGAAGTAGTGATCCAGCTGCTCCTGGCTCTTGGTGGAGCGAACCCAGATCCTGCACCTGTCTCGAGCATGCCACCCGAATTCGCCACCCCGATGTTGGCGGCGATCGGCCAGGAAAATATTAAGGTCGTCAGGCTACTCTTAGACCAGGGGAATTTTGATCCAACTCGCCGATTCAAAGGCGAGACCTACCACGAAATTGCCCGCCGTCGACAGGGAACGAACTGGAAAGACGAGGAGCACATGCTCAAGGAGTCTTACGATGCCTATAGAAAGTCACACCGCGACATTTCAAAGACAAAATCTCCTGGCAGACGCGAACGAGAAAAGGAACGCGAAAAGGACCGCGACAGAGAGCAGGACCGCGAGACAAAGCGCCAAGGTCGGAATGAACTCAAGGACGAAGCGCGTGCACACAAGCGTAACCTTTCTAGCCCGTCCCGTGACCCGGAGAAAAGGAAGAAACTTTCTTCTGGACGAACCATCACAAGTCCAAAGGAGAAGCGTAGGGCGGATTCATTTCACGAAGATCAGATCTCACCGAAGCGTGGTCCTGGCAGGCCGCGTAAAGAAGACCGAGTACCTACAATCGCTGTTTCAGACCGAGAGGCTTCACCCGCACTTTCGCAGAAGCAGGCTGCTAAAGCAGCGAAACGAGCCGAGTCCGACGTTGCCGCAATGTCTTCTGAAGGAGAGGCTGCTAAGCCGCGCCGTAAGCTCGTATCTAAGGGAGAGCTTCGTGGCGAGAGAGAAAAGAACCGACGAGCGAGCATGGTGTCCACCACATCATCATTGAAAGATCCTTCGAGCCCGCGCGACCCAAAACTTGATGATCATCCCGAAAAGCCAAAAGGCGAGCCGCTGTCGGAGAAGTATCACGATCGCACGAAAGCTCTCAAGAGGGACGAGTCTCGGGATCGGCTATCGGTGTCTGGCGACAATTCGTCCAAACGGCATCGTTCTAGTGTCACGCCACCACATTCAAGCACGGGAGACAAGGAGGAAGGCGAGGCACCCGTGAAGCGTAGGCGGCTTGATGTTGAAGGCAAGGAGCGACGACCTAAATCGACCGCTTCACCCGATGATCCTCACAGGACACCTCGTGATGGCCCGCCCCGATCAAAGTCCAGCTTGAGAGACCACGACGACAGCGATCGGAGACCGACGAAGGCTAAGGCAGATGCCGATGGCCATAGACGAGAATCCGGCAAATCGAGCAACAGCGACAAGTCTAGTATCCACGTTAAATCTGAGGATTTTGACATCGAGATGCCAGATGCATCGGATGTAAAGGACACAGTGGAAGCGGAACCGCGTATCAAGAAGGAGCGCGATGACGAGAAGCGACGCCTCGAAGAAAAGGAGCGGAGGAGAGAAGAGAAGCGTCAAGAAGAACGAAAGCGCCGCGAAGCTGAGGCCGAAGAAACCCACAAGAAGGAGGAGGCCCGTCAGCGCGAACGCGAGGCCGAAGAGAAGAAGCGAGAGGCCGAGCAGAAGAAACGTGAAGCTGAGCAGAAACAGCGTGAGCGCGAGGCTGAGGAGAAACGCTTGAAGGAAGAGGAGGTAGCCAGACAACGTGAGGAGCAGGAACGCAAGCGCAAGGCCGAACTCGAAAAGAAACGCCAGGAGGAAGAAGAACGGCAGCGGCGCGAGGCCGAAGAGAAGAAGCAACGCGAGCGTGAAGAAGAAGAACGAAGGCTCCGCGAGGAGGAGGAGAAGAAACGGCGTGAGGAGGAAGAATCGAAGAGGAAAGAGGAGGAAGCTCGTAAGCAGCGAGAGGAAAAGGAGAGACTCCGTAAGGAACGCATCGAGCGAGAAGCTGCCGAAGAAGCCAAGCGAGTTCGCGAAGAGGAGGAACGACAAGAGCGTGAGCGCAAGGAGCGACTTGAACGCGAGGAGATGGAGCGCAAACGAGCTGCTAAAGAGGCCGAGCAGCGCCGTATCCTCGAGGAGCAAGAACGCTTGCGCCTGGCGAAGCTCCCTCCGCTGTTGCGCTGGCTAGACGCTTGCCCGAACCCCAAGACCGCGGAATACGCCGCCAAGTTCAAGCATATGCAAGGCGTGCGGTTCGACACCATTCAGCCACAAGCAAATGGCACAGCAAGCGGCAGAGAACAGTGGGTGCTAAACATCCATGCTGCACTCCTACTCGGGGAGAAGGACCTCTCCCTGTCAAGATGTAAGTGCTCACATGATCTGTCCACGTTGCTCATCACTAACGAAAAATCAGATACGGCTTGGGAGCATGTTCCCGTGTCCGATCTCGCTAAAAAGGTCATCTGGAGACTCGAGTCGGATTGGTATGCCCTGCTTAAGGAGAACTTCTACGAGCTCGGGACTGGCCTATCGGATTATTACGGAGAAGGCGAGGATCCCTTCAAGATGAGCTTTCGCTTAAAGGAAAAACTTCGTGGCGAAGCCCGTGAGAAGTTCTTGAAGATGGACATGTTCTTTGTCAAGGTATGTTGGAAATTTGTCCCGGGATAATGATGGGTGGTTAGGCTGACTCGGAACATAGGTGTCGGATTTGATGTCGACTGCTCAGGACGTTCCGCATCTTCGGGACCTCAAGATGAGCGTTGAGTATCGCGAACTCCCAGACAATGAAGGCCAACTCTACGGATGGCAAGTCCCGCAGAAATGGAAACAGGACCCCGACGCTGATCGATTCCTTGGATTTGCGCCGCGGAACAAATACTATATCAACGGTGTCATGGTCGAGGAGCAGATGCCTGGATTGTCTGCCACAAGCAGCACACCCTTTCCCGAGAAGCGGGTCCCTCGAAAAGGATTGCAGCAGGTTTTCCCTGGCGACCCCGACTATGCCCGTGTGTGCAAAGAACAAGGGCTTGATTTCCTCTTGAATGGCACAAAAACGCCGACGATGCCAAACGGCGGACATTTGTCGCCACGGAGTCAGTCGAATGCCGCAGAAGCAATGGCCGAGACCGTCAATGATACCCAGCCGGCAGCTTCCGCTACTGCGCCAGTGTTGCCCGAGCCGAGACATGTTCCTAATGGCGTTAACGGCGTATCGGCCCCAAGCACCAACTGAGTTGAGTTGGATCACAAGTAGATCAAACGAACCAATATTTAATATACACATGTACACATTGATACAGCAATCCCCGGATCGTTACGCACCGAGTACCGATGGAACGTACCAAGGGACCGCTGTGCACCATCAAAGATAGACCCAGCTGCCTATCTGCCCTTCGTCTTGTCTCGCGATCCTCTTGATAGGGGGAGTTGCTTGACTTCAACATAGGTCTGGTGGATACTAAAGACGTATTGCTCTCGCTACTTTGTGGTCAGCAACACCGTGGCATTTACTCTTTAGGCCTTGTTGGGCGACAAGACACTAAATCAACAGATGAAACTTTCATCAAGAAGAAGTTCAAGGAGCGCAAGAGTTAGCTCTTATGTGTGGTTAGTTGATGAACAACGGATTGGATGGCCACCATTAGGTCTGAACGAGAGCCGAGAATCAAGAGCTTGGGAGCCTGGGAGGCATTGCTAGTTGGGATGGGACACAGGGACAGGGAAGGTAGAAGACGAAAATAACACATTCAAAATGCAGCCTGTCCAGATCATCCCTACGTGCCTTTTTTGTGTTCTGAATAGATATTGCACCCAATCATCATTCGCGAAACCAAGTGCTGGCGTTTCTTACCTAAGATGTTGAAGACTTTTGATTGAATGATTCAGGTTTCTGACATCACTGCGTTCAAAAACCCGTGCAGCCAATGAAGGCGGTGCATTCCCAACAAGCCCCGCCGAAATTTCATGTGCAGCACCTTAGCCTTTTCGCACAAGGTGCCAGTGTCCCCGCCATTTTGCACCCCAAAACCCACCACCAGGTGCACAACCGGAATCAACATCTGCCAGAACCGTCAACCCAAACTTGGGCAGCGAGACAGAAGTTGGACGACGACGAACGTTACTTATTTGATACCCCCCAAAACTCTGCTAGCCACGGCATACTTTCTCTTCGCTTTGCCTTCTGCCCGCGCCTTGGACGTCGACGTCGCAATCGGTAAAGCTAATCATCCAATAAATCGAACCCCTCCATACTGCGCAGGAACGTCTCGAGTGACGAAAAACCGCAATCATGGCGACCACAGTTGACAAGGTAATGTTTCTTGCGGAGGCCTTCACAGCCGACAATATTGAATTTGCCGCCCTTCCTCCCCTAAGGGCTATCCGTGAGGACACCACCTTGACTAACACTTTTGTTCATGTAGATCAAAGACATCGAGGCCGAAGTACGTGTCCAACCCCTCCTCCCCCTCCACCTTCAAACCGAGGGCAATCCTCGTCCCGCCCCTTTCCCGTCGTCGGCGATGTCGAGAAACCTCGAAGGCCGTTTCTGCCTATGACCTGAACGAGGAAACATACGTTCGTGATGTCGTCAACAGACAAGATAATCACCTCCAAGAAACCCAAATGTTCGACCCGGCGATATCAGGAAAAACCCCCTCCACCCTCTACACAGAAAATCCACACAAGAATGCGACGCGCAAATCAGCAAGCTGACGGAATGCTCTCTTCTACCTCACACAGATGGCCAAGACCCAAAAGAACAAGGCCACGTCCTTCCATTTGGGTCAACTGAAAGCCAAGCTCGCCAAGCTCAAGCGTGAGCTCCTGACGCCCTCGGGTGGTGGTGGCGGCGGCGGTGCCGGCTTCGACGTTGCGCGTACGGGTGTCGCGAGTATCGGCTTCATCGGCTTCCCTTCCGTTGGAAAGAGTACCCTAATGAGCAAGTTGACGGGCCAGCACTCCGAGGCCGCGGCGTACGAGTTCACGACGTTGACGTCCGTTCCGGGTCAGGTCACTTACAATGGTACGTCTTTGATAGATGTTGTGTGGTTCGGGACGATGATATGGCAAGAGAAGAGGAACGAGAAGATGAAAAGTCAACAACGCTGACATCCTGTTTCGCTGCTCAGGTGCGCCGCTGCAAATCATTGATTTGCCGGGTATCATTGAAGGAGCCAAGGACGGCCGCGGTCGTGGTCGCCAGGTCATCGCCGTCGCAAAGACGTGCCATCTCATCTTCATCGTTCTCGACGTCAACAAGCCCCTGACGGACAAGCGCGTCATCGAGACGGAACTCGAAGGCTTCGGTATCCGCATCAACAAGTCGCCACCGAACATCACCTTCAAGAAGAAGGAAAAGGGCGGTCTCAACATCACGAGCACCGTGCCCCTCACCCACATTGACCACGACGAGATCAAGGCCGTCATGAACGAGTACCGCATCAACTCGGCCGACATCGCCATCCGCTGCGACGCCACCGTTGACGACCTCATTGACGTCCTCGAGGCGAGGAGCAGAAACTACATCCCCGTCATCTACGTTCTCAACAAGATTGACGCTATCAGTATCGAGGAGCTCGACTTGCTCTACCGTATCCCCAACGCCGTGCCGATCAGTTCGGAGCAGGGCTGGAACATTGATGAGCTGATGGAGGCAATGTAAGGATTTTCTAACTTTGTTCCCCCCTTGCCTTCATTTCCTCCTTAGCCGTCGGGCCCTCGGCCGGTTCTCGTCTCCCGGAGCGACACGATCGTCGTCCACGGCAAGGATCAACCCGCTACCCCTAAAATTGCCCTCACAAGACCAGAGAAGCTAACGTTTCTGATTTCTTTTCCTTGGCGTATAGGTGGGATAAGCTCAAGCTGGTTCGCGTTTATACGAAGCCAAAGGGCAAACTGCCAGATTACTCTCAGCCCGTCGTGCTCCGTTCAAACAGGTGCACGGTCGAAGACTTCGTGAGTAGCCGGTCCTCCGCGTGACATTGCGTCCGTCCCGAGCGAACCCGTGTCGTAGGCTGAACCTTGTTTTCTCTTCCCTGCGACAAAGTGGCGCGCGCAAAAGTGGACGGACGGAGCGCATGTTGCTGCGGCTTGTTCTTGCTCGCTGTGTTTAAGCTAACCGGTTCGTGCTTCCGTCTAGTGTAACCAAATTCACAGGAGTATTCTCGAACAGTTCAAGACCGCCATTGTATACGGCAAGTCCGTAAAGCATCAGCCTCAGCGCGTCGGTCTATCTCACGAGCTAGCCGACGAGGATATCGGTACGTTTTCATCTTGTGTCAAGGACCCCCCACAATCCTCAGTTTCCCTGGTCGTCGCCGTCGCCGTCGTCGTCATCATCATCATCATCATCATCTCAAAACCTTGGTTTGCCCCCGCGAGCTATTATCAAAAGGCCGGCGGGGAAAGGAAGCGCAGTCGAGTGAAATTCGGTTAAGGGAAAGCAAACAATGGCACTAACATCTTCAAACTACTCGTAGTCACAATCGTCAAGCGCTGACGAACGCGGCGACGAGCTAAAACTCGGCGGCGCATGGCGGCCGTTTGTCGTCATGCTTCTCCCCACGCCGCCTCAAAATGCATTGCCTGGCCCAAGGAGAAACAAGCCCAGCCCAGCCCAGACCCAGACTTTCAGCCCGCCTTCGGGGTCCTCCTCGTCCGCAAACCCCCATTTTGGCGAGGGAACACAAAATTCAAGCCACTTGCCTCTTTCCTCCGCCATCTTCTCCTCCACGCCCCCCTTCCCTCCAAGTCATCTGCCGCGATCTCACTCGAGTCCCGATTCCATGGCATCGTGTGCAAACTCAAAAAAAAAAAAGAAGCACGCTACCCTACCTCCTTTCAAAAAGTGAACATTGAAACCAAAGGCAACCGACCGGCTCCAACTGCATCTTACGCGCGTAAGCTCTAAGCCAAGGCCGGGAAAACACAATGGCACTGTTTGGTTGCGACTCTCTCCTTCTTTCAAGGAACAAGGCTGAGCTGAGCGAGTGAGAGAGTGTGTGGGGTTTTTGCTGTCTTGGTACGCTACTTTCTCTTACCGAGCATGGGATGTGGGAATGTGTGTTGGCCGCAAGCAGACATTTTCGTGGCGGGTGGGGGGGAAAGGGGACGTTTAGGTCCCCCTTTGATGGGCGGCGTCAAGGTATCTTCCCTGCTCTCTCTGTCTTGTTTTCTTGCCGCCGAGATTTTGATGGGAGATGGGAGATGGGGAGGGATGAACGGATGGATGGATGGGGGGACGTGTTGACGGGGATCAAGGGCAATGTTGGTTTCTCCAGTCCAGGCAAGCGTTTATACGGTTATCATCATGCTACTTTTGCATTATAGAGGAGAGAGAAAGAGATGAAAAGGAAGGGAGAAAAGGGGGGATGGAGTTCAGGCTTGCAACAAAAAAGTGATTTGTCCTCAATCAAAACGGTTTCTGGCAGCAAAGAGAGAGAGAGAGAGAGAGAGAGAGAAAACAATGCCCGTCTCCCCCTTTGGTGTGTCCAATTCGTTTTCCCCATCTCCATCTGGGGTATCCTTCGACTAGGAAAGAAACGGTGTACCATCATCTATGGTATGCGATCATTGTGATGAATTTGGGTTGGATTGGGAATGGATGGATCGGTCCAGTTCGCGCGTTAGGGTCCAGACTTCACGGCACGGTAGTGAAGCCAAAAGCCCACGCTACCTTACCTCAACTGCCCATCCCGTCCATAATAGTTCAAGTCATCCGTGGTTCCCATCCTCGCCACGAAGCCGTCGGGCACTAAAGCTGGCTGCCGGGCGGCGCGTGCCTGACAGGACAAGCCCGCCGTGCCGCTCAAAAAAACGAAAGGGCTCTCTCTCTCTCTCTCTCTCTCGCCGGTCTCCAATCCGTGTGGATACGGAGGAGAGCGTGGCTTTTTTTATTGTTAGCCAGCCGTACCAGCCTCGCGCATGAGCGCTCGCACGCAGCACTACCATTGTCTTTCATCGTCCGCTTTCGCATGATAGTCTTCCGAATGCCGTCGTCGAAGGGGGCGAAAAACGAGATTTTGGATGGAGTACGAATATAGATAGACTGTCGTTGGAAAGCTGCCCCCATCCCCGCCCCGTCCCTACCCCACACGCGCCACCATCTGAAGTTCACGCAGCAGCAGCAACCCAAGGCGAGAGAAAAGTCACAAAGCTCAAATCGTGGGCGAACCTGCATAGCCGAGGGCCTCTTGTCCTGCGGCCGCAGATGCCTCCCAAGAGAAGCGTGGGTTGCATATTCTTCTTTCTGCAAGAAGGCTCAACGCATGTGTCCGTACCGGGCGTGTATCCCCTTGGCCAGCTTACACTACTTTGCTCCGCACGCGAATGGGAAAAGAAGAGGTGGTGGAAGAGAGACAGAGAGAGGAACTAGAGGAATAGGTAGCGTGGACAAGACCATGCAGCTTCCGCGCGCGCACACACACACACACACACACACCACACACTCTTCTTCTTCTTCTGCCTCACTCCTCCCACAGTGCATGGGTGACAGGCCGAGGAGGGGTGGGGGATGGCGAGCGGGTGTGTGGGTGAGCCAGACGGGGGACTCCCTGGATCGAGGGCAACGTCGGCGCTTAAAGCAGAGCTAAGACGACACCCTTCTCTGCTCTCTGCGATGCTGCTCTTCATAACTCCGCCTTTTCCTCTGCCCTCTCATCCCGCTGCTGCTGACGCTTGTCTCGAGACGGACTCGGCACTACTGGCGCGATGCACTTCACTGCAATTCCCCGACGAGAAACGTGCCCGGCGGAATGGCAGCAGCCACGGACCTGGTTTTCCTCACTAGAACGAAAATAAAAGAGGGGGGATGGAGGGCTTCACCACCAGTCAGATGCGAATCCTCCTCTTCCGCCTGCCTTTCACAAGGCTTGCTTTACCGCCCATGTCTCGTGGTCCCTTTTATCTCCCCTTCCTCTCGCAAGTCCCGATTTTTGTTTGCTACTGCTGTGCGGGACATGCTAGTTAGTGGTGGGTCGGCCGCGGCCCTCGCAGCGAGCCGTGATCTCATCTCATCTTATCCTTGGAGGATGATGGGAGGAGCTCGGACGATGGGTTCCGGGTCCGAGTCCGCGATATGCGAAGCAAGGAAAGGTCGATTGCGGAGTATGGTAGCAGTCAACATCCATCCAGCGATCTTGGCCCTTTCGTCTCGACTTCGACTCGAGATTGCTTGCGGGCAGACGAGTGTATCCGTACCTTGCATCAGATACAGATGAGGCGAACGGCGGGCGATAGGACACAGACCACGGGAGAACGGCTGCAGGGAAGGGTAAATAGGCGCAGGGGCAACACAGACGGCGGCGGCGGCGGATGCTGCGCTGCAATGTTGCTCGTGCTGCCCAGGTCCCCTGCTCGCTCCAAGGCGACATGAGTCGACCAGCCCAGTCAGTCCCAGCGGGTTTTGGGGGAGACCTCGGGAACAAGCAAGCTGCGCTCCACCCGAGCACTGACGCAGCTCTCACCTCCTAGACTCCTCCGAGAGTGCTGCTCCAAAGGGCAGAGTTGGTAGAGAACGTCCCGCGCAAGCGTAGGTGGCACTTCCAAAAAGACCAAATGCAGCCTTGGTTGGAGATAGTCTGCCAAAGGACCAGTCGCCGAAGCAGGCATCGAGGAGGGCAATGACCGACTGGCATCTTGCCCATCATGTTCGTTGAGACATGAGAACGTGGATGCGGTCATCCGCTGTGTCAAACGAAAGTCCTCGTGTCTGGCTGAATTCTCAAAGCCCGAGCTCCTCATGGCTTGAAACAATGGCTTGGTCGTGAATTCCTGCTATTTTAACCAGGTAGGGCAGCTCAACGTGATCAGCCACGGCTGACAGCCACTGACGAGGCGAGCACCAGAGCCTGAGATTTCTCCTCGTATCCGAAAGCTTCTGAAATAAAGTTGACGGGCAGACTGCTCTCGTCGTCGTACTAGCATGGCTTCAATTACTAGTGATATCGTCAGCCTGGCTAAGACGCGTCAGTCATGAACTCATGGAAAACCCTTACCCTACCTAGCGGCGGGAAGATGCCAAGGGAACGATGGAGTAGATGGGTCTCCAAATCAGCCTTCTTTCCTGTTTAGTCTATTCCCCGGCCCGCCCATCATCATTATGCATGTTGCTTGCCCAACGTTGTCGTAAAATGAGAGGCCCTTCTCATGACTGATGCGAAGCTACTGTTAGAGCGATCAGATACTGCTTCGGGTGAGGGTTGAGTCGGGGGTGCTATGGTATCAATTCAGCCTGGCCTAGGATACCGTCGGCAGGGCCCGCTTCATATTGAGAACGGCGCACGTTGCGGGCCAACGCGGGTGGATGCTGGTCGACCCTGGACCAAAACCTGGATCATGCCCCAATCATAGTTGCACCCTACGGCCATGCTCTCCTCTCCGTTGAAGTAGGTAGGTATTCACTTTTGTGCGCCATTGCGTCGAGGCTTGGCCAGACCATCCGTTTAACGAAGCCTTTCGTAGATGGACCCACGGCTTAGCAAGTCTTTGTATCCGTACGTGACCATCTGACCAACTGGGAATCAGTCCGGGTCTCTCAATGGCCTCGCTAGGACCGCCTCACGCGAGAGAAATCTTTTCCATCCAATGACCACTGCGAAACTGGTGATGAATCCGGAATTTATGTCCAATGGGAGTGCCGAAAACGATTTGAGCGCTGCTGTTGGTCAGCAATCCTCCTTCAACTCTTGGTTCCCTCGACCGAAATGGCGCTTGCACTTGTCTTCTGACTGCCATATCAAGTCTTGTGACGACTGCGAAGGTGATCGTGGAGTTGGAGCTATCCAGAGAGCAATCGAGTTCAATGCCTCACAAAAGTGGACCGGATATTGGCGATTATACCCTGCTCAAGACCCATTGGTTGTAAAATGAGTGTAAAGGTCCGGCCCATGATGAGCTGGCCAGATCTATCAAAACTGTATCGACTCGAATCTCCAACCGCATGACCGCGGCAGGCTCAACTGGATGGGACATGGGCCACAACATGGACGGCATGGACCGACAAACTAACGGAGTACAATAAGCCATGATTGATTAGAGAGAGAGCATTGCGTTCAGCGTTGGAAGAAGAAGGGGAGGCGCCCATCGCAATCGCCTGGCCATCCAACGAGGGGCGTTGGTTGTTGAACGACTCTCCACGATGAGTGTGACGGTGGTGGATTCCAATTCCATGAAGGTTGAATTGCGTCGCGAGGAGTCCTTGTACCCTTTACGGAAAGTTGTCGGGAACGGCTTTGGCGATGTCGTGGCGGGTGCGTCAGAGTGGTTCGGGTAGTTCTTAGTTCAACATCGGGCAGCAGCAAGGCTTGACAGACTGCCATTGACGTCGCATATCAAACTTGAAATTAGAGATCAAAGCGCTCGGCAGACCTTGGCTTGTTTGACGTCTGAATTCTGGTGGGATTTGAGTGCTCGCAGATAGGTCTTGGAGGGAAGTGGTTTGAAGGTATCGGACCAGACTGAAGAGGCCCCTGTGGTAGAATGCATTGATCGCCATAAACTGCCGTAGACGTTTATGCTGCCAATGCCCGGTTGACTTGATTTGAACAGACCGAGGCTGACAAAATGGCACGCTATTTTGATATTTGCTGACAAGGACCTGAGGGTTGCTCGAAAGGCGATAGCAGTCCGCGAGTGAACGACCGGATATCCGTAACAGGTTCTACACAGTAGGTCTATCAAACCACACCCCCTCCCCCGACGGTCGACGACTATGTATCCGTACTTTGAACGGTTCAGAGAAGGGTGGGACGTCGGGGTTGCCCCCCCCCCCCTTCCCCCTCCCCTGACAACGCCAGACAGGGATGGGTCAGGTCGCCGGCGGGCCATTTCTCGTAGCATCAGTCGATCGCTTGACAGCCTGGACGGACTGGAGACAACCAAGTAGGCTTGTTACTTGTACGGCGTGGTAGGGTCGGGGCGATGTATCCGCGAGGCGTTTGCGAGTTGGGGGACTAGATTTGGGGAAGGGCGAGAGTAAGAGGGGAAAGGCAAGTTTCGCGGTTGGCGTGCGGCGTGCCGAGTTAGGCGCACATTGTATCGGTGAGAGAGGAGACTACCAATTTCTATACAGCTCTGAGCTAATAAGCCGTGGTGGGAACAAGGCGCGATAGGAGGCCCATGTGGTACGGAAGACGCCTCTCGGTAAAGTATTCGCGCATCGCAGGCTCTTGGACTCGTATCCACGGAGGAATGGTGAATCGATATTATAACGAAGTGTCGGTCAGGAATCAGGATGGGTATCCGTAGCGGGAGTGTCAGATGATGAGGCCGTTGAGTGGATGTGTTTCTGGCAGGTCGTTTACATTGTCTTCGTCCATGGTTCAAAGGTAGCTTGGTAGGTATGGATAGTGTACGGATAGCTTGGTGGGAGCGGCTGGAGACGTGGAGGCAGGCGGCCGAGCGGTCGAATGAAAGTCTAAGGTGCCGAGGGACTAAGGCAGCGGGAAGGTAAGAAAGTTGGAGCCCCGATCCAGTCAGGGTCTTTGAAGTGCAAATGAGACTGTGACTGGCTCGTTGTAAATACCTCCTGCGACGATGTCTGAGTAAGGTATGCGCGCGGAGTATCCGTACAGAGTAGAAGATGCTTGTTGACAAAATGGGAGGAGTGTACTCCGTAAGGTAGGAGAATGAGAGCCAGGCGAGTATCCGTGAAGGTCAAGGCATGGGAGCTTCATGAGTCGCAATGAAGGAGCATTGGGCAGCGATGGCCCTATGAGAAGCAACAGCAGCAAAAGACGACCCCTCATAAGCTGGCCAGGGTATCATGGAAATGGAAGGCAAGAACGGGACGGGACCTTGGTAGTTTACCATTTGCTACTTCCTTTTTTTTTCTTTCTTTCTTCCTTTGCTCTCCGCCCAGGGCAGGCATGTCCCCCAGTCACCAAGTGTTTTTGTCCATCTCTTGCCCTCCACTGTTTGAGCTTTGAAGCTCGTTCATTCGGGGAAGGTACGGACCATGGCGGTAAAAGGTGGACCCGAATGCTTGAAGTGGGGTCCGCCTTGAGGTTAAGAAGGTGGAAGGTGGATAGTCAAGGTCTTCCTGCCATCCTGGAGCAGTGGAGGAGGTTGTCTCTTGACGGGATGCAGCTCGAGATGGGAAGGAAGCAAGGATTGCAGAGTTCACAGTGCACTTGTTGCTCCTGCTCTCTCTCTCTCTCTCTCTCTCTCTCTCGTGAGAGTCTCCCTCCCCCTGCTCAGACATCCCTGCCCCGTGCGTCCTTAGGGCTTGTGGTGGAGCAAGGAATGGACGGGTGAGCCAGTCAACGATTGCCCGCCGGTCCACTGCCCAAGATGGGACGACGTTGTTCCCTTCCTTTCCTTTTGGCGTCCGTATCCGTCCATGTCGTTTCCTTCCATGCCGCCCGTTCATCTCTGGTCGACTCCAAAAGACGGGCAAGTCTGAATCATCCGCGTGCTGAAGCAGGCACGGCAGACACCTTATCCAAGACCACTGCTCCGAGAAACATGGCACTGGTATGGAACCGAAGCGAGGAATGCAAGTACCGTTACATGTCAGATACCTCGACTTGTTCCATCAGCGGCAGGTACCTTCCATTCCATACCTACTTCAACCACGTAGTTTCGACCTACCTACCGTACCTACCTTACCCTAACAGTCGTTAGGTAAGCTGTCTTCAGTTGACAATGGAACCGCCAGGAAGTGCGTTACCTATGGTACTGCCCAGCTTCCGGCAGCTACCTACCTCAGCACACTTAGCTTCCATACCTTCTCCACCCTGGAGAACAGCTTGGTACTAAGAAATAGAAACGGCGGCTTCATCTGCGAATACCAGACTAACACCCTTCCTCATTTACTTCTCCATGTCTTGTCTTTTGCCTCGCCTCGCCTCGTCTCGTCTCGTCCTACTCACTTTTCACATTGGAATGATCCCTCCATCCGCCATCGCTCACACTACTCCGTAGGGATACCTCAACGTTCCGCCTTGTCCTAGCAACATCCCCACGCAAGCCGCCGTACGGAGTACCGTTCATCTATATCCCTCTCTGCTCAATCTAACCCCTTGTCGGGGCAACACTCGCCAGTACCTACCAGTACTTCGTACCCATCGCGGAAGCAGAGGCAAAACCAGAAGAGAGGAGAGGAACCGACCGTCACACCATGTACGAATACCTACTGCGGCGAGCGAGCAAGGCAAGGAACCCGCTCTTCTCGCCTAGGCCCCGTCTCCGACTAACCCGATCTCGCTCTCAGTCTCTCCTCTCACGCAACCATAGCCCGTCAAGGGTGCAAATGCTCCGTCCGTCTTTGGATCAAGACCTCTCGCCGTCTCTTCTCCGACCACTACCTACACAGCACTCCAGTGAGCATGTTACCCAGTACGTGTGTGTGTGCGTGTCGTGTGGGTGGTAATCTCAGCGCAAAGCAGGTCCTGGTGTCAGCTAATTGGCGCGCGATTCTTCCGTTTCTCGACCCCGACTCGGCTTTTCCTGATTATTGAGCACCCAAGCGACCGTTTTCTGTAACATCTCGTTTTCCACCTTTCCTTTTTTTATTTCTTCCCATCCATCGGCTCCAGACTCGTTGTCGTCTACCATTGTATTCCTTTGGTGATACGATTTCGGCTTTTCCTACAGAATCTCCCCAATCCGCACCATCGGGCCATCCATCCCATCTGCTGTCATCATCTCGCAGGAGGCCGACATACTCAACTCCACAACCCAGGGGCCAAGGATATGGCTAATCTCGACTCTCAATTTCAAGAGGCCAGAGGCAACCATAGGCCGCAATAGAGGGCAGCATTTCTTGCCCCGAGTGGCTAGTAGCCGTTCGCCTACCAGCCAGCGTTGGGGGAACAATAAGACATCAGCAAAGTCGAGGCGAGCCGCGAGGCCAGGTCTAGACAAGGCGCTATAGGACGAGACGAGACGAGACGAGACGGAAGCAAATCAGCATCTCAACTAGTGTCTGTGTGTGGCTTGTCCCATTCCCGTCGACAGCGTTTTCCATATGGTCCGTCGTTTCTTCCCATGCGGCAACGGAGACAAACTGAGCCAGTGGCTTCTTCTAGCTCCTCCTCAATACCCTAGCCGTGGCGGTTGTCAGTGGTGTAGACATAACTTCTAGGCCGACTATGATGTCTTCATCGATGAAAACACTCACACTATCGCACAAGATACGCAACCTCGTCAACGTCAACAATCATCCCCCAGATGTGTGGAACTCAGTTTTACGGCATTTGCCTCGTCCCCGTTTCTCTCTCTCTGACCCTCTCAGTCAATCCCGCCGGTTGCAAAGGATCTCGTTACTGCCCTCGCGGAAACCATTCTCCATTCTACTCTGTCTCATTCCCTGCCAATATCATGATGCTTCATGCATAAGACTGTGCTGTAATCGAGTCCTGACGTCGCACCTTTGCGGCTTTGCCATTCTTTTAGGCCTATCACAACCATGCTCGTTGCCAGGCGCTTTCTTCTGACAGGCAAGTTGCATTTGCATGCTCATTGTCTTGATCAACACATCGCTCATCAACCAAACCTTCACCTGGCCGACGTTGCGCGTGTCTACCCTTTACTCTATCGTCTCTTAACGTCTACCTAATGACCACGCGGTTGTGGTACATAGAGAACTTCATCTTATCCTTCGCAAGGTCTGGTCTAGTACCACACACCCCGAGGGGCCGAGTCGAGACCCCGGCTCTACTTAGATTCAATCATACACACCACACCCCCAGGAGAAGACGAGACACACACCCCAGACCCTTGCCGGTAGTGTACTTACATGGGCATGGGATGCATCCGCCGTCGCTTTGCCTGCAGAGCTTCTACATATGTACACTGCGGCCCACCGTCGCCCACACAACCTTCATCCTTCCGTGCGCCTGATACCTAGTATTACTATCTTGACAAGCCCGCCTACCCCAACCTCGACCTGCTGCTAGCTTTGTCCTTCAAGCCTTGCCTTGTGCGTCGCGGCGTCTGATTCTTGCAGCATACCGCTGTCTGATTCTCCCCTTCTGAGTGGCCCGATCCGACTTTCCAGTCCTGTCAGGCTCGTTCGCCATCACCCTCAACTGGCCGACCGAATAGACAGACAAGCCTTCTCCCCAGGAACAGCACTCTTTCAACAGTCGATCATCCCTCGAACATCCCTCTTTCATCCCATCCTTAGTTTACTGTTGCGAGGCGTGTCTTCGCCAGGAGTCGGCCACCTCGCCAAAGACTAGAACAACAACCTAGCCCCGGTTAATCTAGGTATTTTCAAACCGCAATACGGTCAGAAGACCCCCTAGAACAGACTCTGGGAACCAGCTGGGGATTCTTGATACGGCAGAGGACCAACTTGGTGGTTGCCGCGACAGGAAAGGGTTGTTGGTGTTGCACCCGCATTCTAGGCACGACCTCAAACTATTACTCTAGAACCCGCACACCAGACCGGCACTTCTCGTTTAAGAAACCCACGGAGAGACATACGGCTAGCTGGTCAGTCCAACTCACAGACGACGTTGCCCCCGACACCTCTCTGCAGCCTGCAACGCACTTGCATCAAGTCACCCTGAGAGGCCCAGGGCTTCTTGACCTACAAAGCAGACCGCCTGCACAGCGCGCCTTCAGCAACCAATTGGCCACCTCTGCCATGCATGGTGTCTTCCTTTCTTGAAGCCAAACCCACCAACATCTGTCGGGACCAGCAATCCCCACCCTTGGCCCGAGTGTCATCCCATCAGTCAAGTCAAGGCGAAGCCTTCAGCGCGACCCCCTCCTCTCAATCACCAACCTGGAACCTGGACTTTACGACAACAGGCCGGCCAGACAGTCTCGTTCTGAGTACTGCCAAGTTGGAATTTGGGGATCGAATACACATCTAACAGTTATATAAGCAATGAACAACTCCATCGTGGGGACTGCCACCATGGACCAGGACAACCACCTTACCCAGGACGAAGACACCCATATGGGCCACAACCACACAACGTTCGGCACCGAAAGTTGGGGAGACATGAGTCCGTACGGCCATCAGAACAGCATGTCGGATTTCGGAGGCTTCACTTTCATGCCATCAGTCACCCATGGATTACCGTCTGAGTCGATCGGCAGAATGCCTCCTCCGCCAGCTCCTGTGCAGCCGATGCAGTCTCATCAACAACAGTCTCATGCCCAGCTGCCGATGCTCATGATCCCATCTCAGCCAACGTGGCCTAGCATGTTGACCAACCCCAACAGCTATTCGGCACCTCCCTTGGGAATGGCACCCGTCGTTGCCCCAGCCCCTCCAAGGCCTACACGGCTGACAAACGGCCCACAGCCGCAACAGCGGAGGGTCTTGACCGACGACGACCGAAAGAAAATGTGCCAGTATGCTGCTGAGCATCCCAACGTGAAGCAGACGGACATCGGCGCCATGTTTGGCGTTGAACGAAGGTAGGTTCAAGCATGTGCATGAAGTGAAGAGCACGTTGAAGTTCTGACCTTGACATCCCAGCACCGTATCCAAAGTTCTACGCAACAAGGAGAAGTACCTGAATCCGGAAGCGGACAGAAGTCAATCTCCCGCTGGCAGGCGGCACACCAAGGGGAAGTTTCCGGACATCGATCGGGCCGTCGCGGCATGGGTCAGGAGACAGCAACAAGCCGGGTTAACACCTAGCGACGATGAGATTCTCGATCAAGCAAAGCACTTTTCTCGTACCACCAACGGTGGACCTGAAGCCAGCCAGATGAAGTCCATCAACACCACTTGGTTGGAGAGATTCAAGCAGAGGAACATCTTGGTATCAGGAAAGCTCTTGCGGAGAGCATCGGAAACGAACATCACAGACCACGCCAAACTATCTGGCTCTCCGTCTCTTGGGGCATCCGGCATCTCACCGGCATCGCCAACAGGACACCCATCTCCACTCTCGGCTGACAGGAGTGATGAGGACGCTGTTCACGGTCTCGGTTTTGTCGGATATGGTGATGGCGGCGCCTACAAACACACCAACTCGCAAAGCACTACGTCTCTCCACAGCGCGTTAACCGATGCAGGAAATTCGTCCTTCTCGGGGAGTGCGATGAGTCCTACCGCCACATTCACATTCTCCCCTGACCCCAACGCTGGTCAGTTCCTTCCCAATGATACATCGCGCCAACTGCATGGAGGGGTCGCTTCAAACTTCCAGAGACCGAGGAGCCAAACTTTTCCCACTCTCGATCTGGAGTACATGAACCAGGCCGCATCAACAGAGCCCATGACCCCCAAGTATCACCCGGCGTCTACGGCGCCTTCTTCTGCCTTGGAATCGCCGGTTCATGAAATGGCAGCACCCCACTTTGGCTTAGATACCGCCATTGCTTCATCGCCGCACCTGCACCACAGCAGTAGCAACAGTAGCATGGCTGGCCGATCAGCCACGACTCCAGCTGGGTCATCTCCGACATCACCGACACAGGAAGATGCTCGAAAGGCTGCGGACACGCTGCTGAGTTACATCCAAAGCACCAATGGGGGAGCCTTGTTGGACCAAACGGAGTATGTGGTGATGGTCAGGTTGACGGAGAAATTGCGCCTACAGCAGCATCAACTTGCGAAATCCGGAGTACCTCAATCCCTGGGCATTTTGGATCGGATACCTGAAGGAGACGCCGAGATGGCACCGCAACATGTGCACTCGATGCCGCTGGGGATCAAATCCGAGCCCGTCGTAACTCAATGAACACCCGGCCCGATGCTTCAGCAAATCACTTGCAAAGCAAAACCACATCAGATCGCGCATAATTTCCCTTTTTCGGCAAGAGTGTTCTTCGTCATTCCCCAAGGCGTTTGTTTGTTTGATTGCTTTGATTCTGGACTGGATTGGGAAACAGGCCACCCCGCGCGCATGGTATGCGCGGGCATCTACAACAGGACGACGACCTCCATTTTGGTCGCACCAATCTCTAGACCCGACGAGAGCTCTGCAAAGAGCACATCCCCCTCGCCGGGACCGGATTTTCGATTTTTGGGAAAACAAAAACCCACTTCACAATGGCGATACCTATCATTGGGGATACGACACCCCAGGAATACACGGTCAATGTCTCACGACAGCCCCAAGGCTTTTATCGAAGGACCTTGAGGCTTCAGACTCCGCGACAATAATCTCGGACGCCTGTGTGTTCCCGCCGCCGGTCCACGGTCTCACGACAGTTGGAAATATGGGCAAGTAATTATAACTTATCAATACAGGACCGGGGTGGACACTGGCCAGAGACGACGATGCGGAGACATTTTCTCTATTACTTGAAACAACAGCATCACTATTATCCTTCCCACTCGAAACTTCAGTCGAGACATCCATATACCCCATTCTTATCAACGCTCACGCTCCCCTCGAGGGAAGACCTTCCGCTCACGCGAAACACCGCAAAATTCTCCGCGCACCACATCGATTCAGGCCTGGTTTTCAATAGTCATCTTTTCTTTATTCGGTTTTTTTTTTTGGTCTGGTTCATGTCTGTCTCTCTCCATAGCTTCCGCGAGCGCGAAATTTTCAACCATTTCTCCATTTCAATACTGTATTATCCTAGCCTTCTCTTATACACTCTCTGCATCTCTGAGGCGACAAGAATAGGAAGTAAGGGGAGGGGGTTCCGGTTGGTTGGTTGGTTGGTTGGTGGCCGGTCAGCCAGGCACGGTATCTACAAGGGGCGGGTGTCACGGAAAGAGGCAAAGACTTTGAGCCAGGCACGGGTTATCATAAGTGATCAACTGGCTAGGAACGAAGCAAGGCAAGAGGTCGAGACGAGACATATAAGGCAGAGGGATGCTCAAGGAACGTTGAGGGGAAAAGCACGATGCGACACGACGCGTACACAAAGACTCATCGTCTAGCTCCGGCCAGAGAGTTTGCGTGGGGAAAAAAAAAAAAACCGAAAAAAAGAGGGCGGCCCCTTTTGCATTTGATTTCCTAGGGATATGCCCCTTTTTTTTCCTTCTTCATTCTCTCCCCCTTTCCCCCTCCCGACCGGTCTGCGAATACACGAACGTCACAAAACGATTTGTCTCTTACCTTTCATGATCAAAAGTGCATTTGTGACTGCGTCTGACCATGTGTCATATCATGATATCTGAGAAGGAATACATTGCTTCATCATGTGGAATTACAAAATGCGTTTCTCAGGCTAACAGGGTATCTAAAACACACAGAAAGGCATAGGACTTGTTCATAGTTAATCCATCACAGGCTCAGACGTTCCTCCCAGAGCTCAACGACGCCTTTCTCCGCTAGCTCCGGCATCAGTCTCACCAAAATCAGCTCCAAAATGCTGTACACCAAGTGCTTGTTGCAGTATTCGTCAGAGAAAATATCGAGTATTCCCTCTTCGATCTCGAACAGCATTCGCTGCTGATCATCGTCCTCATTCCCTTTACTTCCATTACCTAAATCATTAGTTCTGTTATCGTTGGTGGCACCACCTCTGCCAGGAACATCGGCCTCGCTCTCGCTCGTGGCCAAAGCAGGAGCAGCATCATCATCATCATCAGCACCAGGCCTCGACTCCGGTCCGGACCGCCACCGGAAGCCAAGGCCTCGCCCGCCTAGATACAGACCAGCCAACCAGGGCGGGATGCTGGCTAGCATGGCGCTAGCGCACCTGCGGCGCAAGGCACGCAGCTCCTCGTCGGATGAGGGGGCCACCAAGGTCGAGACGCCGGGGGCGTTGTTGGGGAAGAGAGCAGCGCGGATGGAGCGGAGAACGGTTGGCAGGTATGCGGCGTCGAGAAGACGTTGGTGAATGGTGTGCGAAATGAGCCTGTATTTCGACGCGGCAAGCGCTTCATGTCAGCTTTCTTCCCGGGTATGCTTCCGACTCGGACGGTCGCGACGGTCAAGTGTGTGGGGGGTTGCAGGGGCTTTTGTGTGAACCGACAAAGGGAAGCAGCGATCTGCGGGAGGGGAAGTAAGAGAAGGAGGGATGTCAGGAAAGGAATATAGACGGCTAGGCCAAGGTAACACGAGGTTGAGAGCAGGGGTAGCTGAGCGCCC